AGATGATCATCCCTATTGCATGTTCGACGGAATTAACTTCGGAAGGGTGGGCAAAGATCCTTCGAGATGAGGTATACGCCAAATACGGCATGCCACAAGTCATCATCTCTGATAGAGGACCGCAATTTGTGTCAAAATTCCTTGACGACTTATACAAATTGCTGCGGATAAAACGAAACGCGTCTACCGCCTACCATCCACAAACTGACGGACAAACTGAGTGGGCAAACCAAGAAGTTGAAAAATACCTTCAGCTATTTATCAACTACCGCCAGGATGACTGGGTCGAATGGCTAGCACTCGCAGCTTTTCAACACAATAACAGAGTACACTCCGCTACAGGCTTCACACCCTTCTTCGTTAACCATGGACGTCACCCCCATGTTGCACAAACGACCCGTCATAAAACAACAACCCCAGCATCAACAAGTTTCACCGTGACTCTTGAAAAAATCCACGCCGAAACTAAAGCCGCACTAGAACGGACGGCAAACGCCATGAAAAAACAATATGACAAACACCGACGTCCAGCCCACACTTACCAAATTCATGATAAAGTCTGGCTCGACACAACAAATCTTCACCTCCCCCGACCGAAACGAAAACTCACTGACAAGCGCACTGGCCCCTTTCCGATCCTAGCGAAAATTGGTCAATCCTCCTATAAGCTAAAGCTACCAGCAGGATGAAAAATCCACGATGTCTTCAATGAATACCTCCTGACACCATACATAGCCCCGGCCTTTCCAAACCAAGAGAGACCACCGCCACTGCCCCCTGACTTAATCGACAACGAGAAACACTACGAAATCAACCAAGTCCTAAACCATAAACTACGGAAGGTCAAAGCATGTGAGGGCGGCATGACCACGACGGTGGATTACCTCGTCAGCTGGAAAGGTTACAGCCCAGAATCGAACCAATGGATAAATGAAAAATACATAAATGCCGATGATGCTATCCACGACTATGAACTATCTCTTAATTAAGTCATCGGGACGATGGTCTTAAGCGGGGGGTAATGTTATGATTTTTCCATTCTTTTTACTTGACATCCACCTTTTACCCCTATTCATGCTTAGTCAGAAGAGCACAAGACAGTGGGAGAGCTTAGTCAGCACAACTAACAATCTCCAAACCGTCGCGACAGCCAAGCATAACAACAACACAATTCCCCTTTTATGTATGGTATCGGTGCTCAAGGACAATGAGTACCATGGACACAGACAGACATAATAAGTAGCGATATAATTAGGACCATCTGTACAGTATTTAAGACCGATGCTCTTGCTGGCAATAACTCCAGCTTTGAGCTAAAGTTTATACACGCCATTCTACCTCGAGTCTTCTTCTGACCTTGGGTCACATCGGACAGGTACATACCAAGTGAACTCAGGTGATTCCTCGAAGTGCGAAGGAACACCTGTTTATCACGTGTATCTGTTCACGTGACGCTTGAGCCTAACAAATATCTGGTTTCATGCTCTGAAACACTTTTTCTGGAGTTAAATCATTTTTGATAGTCCTGGTTAGTGATCGGTTCTTCAAATATGTGGCATATGCTACTGCCTTGGGCCATAGAAACTTTGGTAAGTGATGTTCTTCTAGCATGATGCATGCATGCTCCACAAGAGTCCAATTTATTCTCTCAGCAACTCCATTTTGAGATGGAGAGTATGCTGCAGTCAATTCTAACTGTATGCTATTGTTCTGGAGGTATTCCTTTACCTCTTCATTGTCAACCCTCATAAACTTCAGATCCTTCTCTTTGTGGACTTTGATGTATTTTTGATACTGCTGGATCTTCTTTCAAATTTTCATACCTTGCTTTGACTTCAAAAAATACAACATTGTTCTTCGGGATTTTCTATCTGTGAAGCTTATGTAATATCTTTCACCATGGATACCCTGAGTTCAAGCCAGCCCCCATAGATCTGAAAATGTCATTTCTCCTATTTCAGTATAGTCCTTTTCAGCTTCCTGTGGAAATGGCTTGGTATGATGTTTGGCTTTTATGCAAGCTATGCAATCTGTCTGAGGCTTGGCTGACTCATCTATATCCATCCCCTTGATCATTTTCTTCCTAAATAGTCTCTTTACTGATCTCATATTTAAGTGGCCTAATGTTTTGTGCCACTTTTGCCATAATCAGGCTGATTTCATAGCATAGGTCTGAGTTATTTCTGGAACAATAATGTCAAGGCTGTACAGCTTTGATATTTTATCTCCATGGCTGATTATCTTACCATATGGTGAGATAATATCCATTCTGGACTCTTTGAATCTGAGTTCAAATCCAGCATCTGTAATGCGCCCTATTGACATAAGATTGAATAGTGCATCAGGACAGTGGATACACTCTTTTAGTGTGACTGGAGTGATCTTTTCTTCTTCGACCATTTTAATCTTGACAGTTCCCCTTCCCAAGCCTTTGGATTTGCCTACACCAATGACTTCATGTCCTGGGGTTTCAACATAGTCAGAAAAATATAATCTATTTTTGACTATATGTCTGGTGATGCCAGAGTCCTCTAGCCATGATATTCCTGAGAGTGAGGTAAGTGCAACATCTGTTGCACAAAATACATAGTCATCTTCTTCTGAGTCTGATTTGGCAATATGTGCCTGAGTCTGGCTCTTTCTCTTCCCTTTCTATGACTTTTTGGAATTCTTCTTCCTATTTAGGCAATTTGTTCTGATGTGATCAGTTTTCCCACATCTATAACATGTGACATTTGAATTGGACTTCTTACCATGTGCTGCAAGTGTCATGGTCTGATCAGAAGTCTTTTCCTTTAGTTGGATGTCTTCCTGAAGAATTCGGAAAATCAACTTGTAAGAATCTTTCAAGTCAGCAGTATCCACTGATGAGATGAATAAATTCCATGATTCTGAGAGTGATGTAAGCAGTGTGATAGAGAAGTCCTCCTCCTCAACTTTCTGCTTAAGGGATGCCAGCTCCTCCTGATAGGACCTCAAAGTCCTAATATGCTCCTTCATGTTTCTTTCTTCTTCACACTGAGCTCTAAAGAATTTCCTTCTGACAAGGACAATTCCCATGGGTCCCCTAGACTCATACATATCTTTTCAGAGCTTTCCAGGCTTCTGCTGAAGTCTTTGAACCAGCAATATATACCAGCGGGCCATCAGAAACCCACAATCTTATTGTTGAAAGAGCCTTCCTATCGCTCTTCTTCCAATCTGCCACCAGTGTCATGTCTGCCGGGGCCAGAATGCTTCCATCTGCATAATCAATCAGTCCTAAATCGGTTAGGATATCGATCATCTTGATTTTCCACGTCGGATAATTTTCCGGGCCCTTAAGGGGGTCAATTCTATACACGGACTGGCTATCCATGCGGTTCTATGTGTGTATGTAAAGTATGAAAGGGTGCGAAGTGAGTAGTGATGTAAGTTCAGTTATGGCTGGGGCCCATAACCTGTTGTAAGTAGAGAGCAGAGTAATGTACAGAGGATTAGTATTAGCCTCTCGAGAGAGAAACGTTCTACTTAAATACATTTTGTATTACTTCGAGATCTTTCTACGAGATACTAAATAAGTCCGGATCACGATCCAAGTCAGCTGCCGCTGACTGGCATCGTGTCTTCGAGTACGTTCTCGTACTCGCTCGGGATTGCTATCCCAACAAGGACAATGATGACATAATGTATCGGATGAAACGGTAGGAAGCAAAGAGGACCTTCAAAGATGCGTGATGGTGGCAAGTGAAAGGCTTCATAGCTTTAGTTCCCATTGGGGTTCGCTGTGCATTGGAGTCCTTCATATATTACAGATGGTCCAATACAAGTTCGTGTAAAGATACAATAGTAAGTAATATACACTGATCCTTTTATTGGTACAATTCATTGACTTCCGTCTAGTATGTTGTATAACCTGGGCTTTGCCGTTTAGTCGGAATATAGAGAGCATGAATGACTTTGACGTACGGAAATGTGGAAGGTTAGTATACCTCACAGACCTTCGAGGGAAAGGGGGGAAAGTCGCTAGGGCCAAAATTGGGACATGCAGGAGTGGTGTCCTCAAAGATAGTGTGCAATGTTGCGATGCTTCCGCGATGAGAACGACGCATATAGAAAGATTTGAAGCTATTGAAAGATTTGAAGCTGTTGATGGACAAGGTAGATGCGCTGGAAGGGCATGAGTATATTGATGCATTGTCGGCGTTAATTGGGTCAGGTTTCCAGTCCTTGAAGAACCAGTTAGTAAATGCATAACACCAAAGATTCAAAATCACTTCAACTCATCACAAGTTCGTCAGGTGGAGCATCCATGATGATGCAGGGCCTTTCTTTCCCAGGGGAGGTCGCGGCGAGTCGACCATTCTTGATAGTCAGCTCGGAGTGCCAGCGGCCCGCTGGCTTGTGTCAAAGCTTCGGACAACGGTGTGAAGGTGGATTCTTTGACGAGACAGATTTGACTGCGTCTGTATTTTGTGAGAGCTTTGCGTGGCTTGACTGATGGAGGTTTTGCGATACTAGGCGGCCTAGCGGGTTTGGTGGAATCGTAGTCTTCGGAGAGTACGTAATATCACGATGTCGACATTGAAAAATAAAGAGAGATTTGGAGGAGGCGCCAGGCCTACCAGCTGCTAAGGGAATGTTCGAGTTAGGGGTGATGCTCGACGCCGGCGAGGTTGAAGTAGAAGAGGTAGAAGAGGTCAATGATTTGCCGCCCATTTTATACGAGAAATGCTGTTAGGGTTCATTGGGATATCCCTGGTATTGTTGGTGCAAAGGTCAAAATAAAATAATGGCACGGTGGTGCCGCGTCATTATTTTACCTTTTCAATCGATGTCGCTGCAATGCTGGAGGTATATTGTAACGGAGGTGACGACCTCATGCTCCAAAAGCTGGATGGCTTGCAAGATAGGATGTACGCCGGCTACTGCTTGATAGTGCGTCTTTTTGCTGCTTGTTTCCATCTCATCGAATAAAATCCCGTTTAGATTCAGGGACGGGTTGATGAGGATAAAAATACAACGCTGTCGGCATTCGTCCACTACAACAGGGTCTTACGAAGCCTCACCCTCGCAAACCTCAGCATGCTCGGCCTTCGATGTGCGTTCTCATCTTGCAAGAAACGGCCCATCCTAGATGCAGAGAACTTCTGCATGTGTCGAAGCCGCTGCCAGGGAACAATTGTTACCATCCCACTTGCTGCGACATTTGTGCACGTATACCAAACGATTGGCGGGACTGTTCTCAGTCACCATATGTGAAGTATCCTCCCTCGTTTAACAAAGCGATCGCGGAGGATATGTATCACGGCCAACTCCTTCGAGCTAGAGTAGATGATGATCAAGCTCTTCGAATTGTCACTGGTGAGGAAGAGGGTCCAGATATCGACGTTGCAGACGATACGTCGGAGACCGATAGTCAGATCTGCAAGACGTTTCTGACCAAGGTGCCGGGCTCCGATAAGCTCGGAGAAGATGCAATCTTCCTGCCCGTTAATCGTATCGACCACATCCTGTCAAACGTTTCAGAGATATCTGATCCGTCGCAGTTACACGGAGACTTGGATCGTTTTCAAGAGTAAGCAATCCTCTCTAATCATTGCAATTTTTCTCCTGAACTATTCTTTTGTTTTCATAATCGTGCAAGAGTATCAGTTTGCGTGCTACGGACGGATCGGTCGTTTTCGAGCCACCTGAGGGTCTGCCGGTTGACGATACGCCTCTTCCCGACAACTTTTCGATGGTGTATAGTCTCATGTCGTCGACATCTGGTACTTCAACGGAAGATCTGGAATGTGACTCTCCGGACTCGCGTGAACTTGATTCATCGTTGCAGGGGATCATCCCCCAGCCCCAGCGCCTATTAGTCGGAAAGGTAGGTATTTATATGTTTCGCATGTAACTTCCATTAACGTTTGCTCCAAAGGCAAATGGAGAGTCAAGTCGCTCCTCAAGCGAGCGATTACGAATTTCGTTGGGTTTGTTAAGGGGCGTAAGTTCTCTACCAAGTTATCTGCAGGATAGACTCAATATCGCTTCACTTTCTTTTTTCGAGAATTTCATACCATACACACTGTATCGCTAATTATATCATACAACTCGCACTTCCTTTGACTCTTATCGTCCCTGTTTCTTTTCTTAATCTTTCCCGAGTTCTAGTTGGGTAAGTTAATCCTGAGCCTTATCTTTACACCACTTACCAGGCTTCGAGGAGCTCGAAGAAGGGTCTCTTTCTGATCCGTCGTAGCTATACAGAGACCTGGAACTTTTCCAAGAGCAAGCGATCCTCTCCAGTCGAACTCTTCTCCCGAACCGGCCTTTGTTTTCAGAATCGTGAAGTATCAGTTTATGCGCTATGCATCCCGCCAGAGGGTCTGCCGACTGACGACTCGACAATCTTTAATGTATGGGATATTGTCAGCATCTAAAACTTCATGAAAACCAAGGTGAGTGATGGTGTATCTATCCTATAGGTCATGATAACTTGGTGGAGAACTTATGCCCCTTAACAAGGTCAACGAGATTCATGATCGCCCGCTTGACAAGTGACTTCACTTACGAGTCTTCATTTTCTAATGGTGGCTGCACTCGTAACACCTTTCTGGCTAGGCACTGGTGCTGGGAGATGTTCCTCTGAATCAGGCAACGATGAATCAAGTTCACGCGAATCCGGAGAATCACGCCATAACCTTATTGCATTGCATTGTTATATCATTACGCTTTCATATGAATCGCGTTCTTCAGTATGTTATCACGGACATTGTCGAATTGGAAAATGATATTTTGTCATAGGTTATCCTTCCGCTTACCTTCTGTTGACAGTATGTTACCATTTGAGATACCATGGGCCCAATAATACCGGAACAAGAAGACATTTATTATTACCCTGAAGAGTTTGGTCTCAATTTCAGAAAAGACCTGGCTCAGATATGCATTAGTAGGCACACAAATCAAAGTATCTGCAGTGGTGCTCGTGCCTATGAAACCATGAAACCAACACAATTTCAAGGCAAAAGAGAGGCGTACGACCAACTGGATAATACTTACCAATTGTTCCTGGAGTTATAATGGTTGTAGAATAAATGTCCTCCTCGTAAGGGTGATTGTCTGTGTAGAAAACTGCATTCACCCGATCCTTGTTCGTCTGCAACTCGCTCAAATCTCTAACATAGATTTACTACTGGAACGAATAAAATAAATATTGAGATCCGTAGATCTACCACTCCGGGAAAGCGTGTCATCCTTGTGCAGGGGCCATGCTAATCTTCTCTGTATCGTTCCAATTTTTTCGTATGTCACCCCGAAGGGGACAATATAAATATACAGTTCAGCGTGGCAGTGTTAACAGTTTTGTATTTGTGTCAGCTCACTGGAGGGCCTATCCATATCGGTAATATGCTCAGCAGCTAAAATGTCAGCAGCGACGCCTACGGTTCTACCTCGGGATCCCAGATTCCCGCACCTGCTGCCTTCAGTACCTAGGATTCGACCTATGCCGCTGCGTACCGTTGGCTATGAATATCGTGACCTCCAGCACGAGCTCGAGGAATTGGTGCGCACCTATTCTGGCTGCGTGCGTGCTTCTGACTCTGTGGTAGGACAACAACATTTGGGTCAAGACGCAGCAAGAGGAGAAACGAGAGGTGCGTACGCTTTCCGTCGTCGTCGGTTCGTCTTGTGAATGAAAATCGCAGCTTGATGAGGCAGGTGATGGTGAACAGGACTCTATACATTCTGATGGGCGGCCGTCCGTGGTGGAAGACGAGGACGAGGACGAATCTGCACGATATGGATGAAGAGTCGGAAGAGTCCTCGCATGCTAGGATTATTTGGTCACAGACGCGCCGGAAGAATAGATGGATCTTTTGCCAGTTCCCTAACCATTTACCGCTTACGCAGCCTTCCCAAGTTCATTCTGATTGACTGCTTCTGTTATTTCGTGGAGGTTGAAATTGTCTTCAACTTTCTATGGTCTTCAAGTTTGCTGTGGCCTCGGTATGTTTTGCAGTATTTTAGAGACAGATTGTTAACCCATGATTCTATTTTATTTTTTTCCGGAAAGTAGCAGTCATGCCATATGTTTTTTTCTGTATGGTATGCCCTGCAAATTCTGGCTGCGAGTGGTGCTGTCGTGAGCATAGATACAAATATTTTTGGATACGTCCCTCCATGTATGCCGTCACACTTTATCGCAGCCGAAGAGCAACATTTTGTCCCGTAAAGATTACATACATGTAGTTATTAGGGTACATATTTTCTGCACACGTACGACGGACCCGGTCCTTACCAGGGTCTTCCACAGGGACTCATGTCAGTGAATAAAATCCCCAGCTTTCTTGGTATACCCTCACTTTTTTTTTTTCCAAGCGACAAGCGCGTTGATGGCTGTCGCTGTGTAGGATGGAGTTGTCATAATGAAACGGCATCTATCTCCTTGCAGCCTTCCTCCTCCATGCCTCGAAAATCCCAGGTCGACCTCATTTCCATCTCTGGCATCGTATCGGCCCAAGCACAGCAGGAACTTGTCACCGAGGGTCTCGATAACTTTGAGTTGCCGAAGAGCCTGGTTACGAGTATCGCAAGATCAGCAGTACGTCCCTGTCGTTGTCGCTATCGAGCATGGAATTTGAATGAACCTGGTACCAGCTCCCTGACAACGCGAAGCTACCCAAGGACACGATCCTCGCGCTTGTCAAGGGCTCGACGGTGTTCATCAACCACCTAGGTGCGTTGTGATCTGCTTTCACATCGGACGCGTCTCATCGACCGCCACTCTTTGAAATTCCCCAGCTGGAACGCAAGTACCCCGCAATCAGACTCAAACCTGGACCCCACACTGACGGCGCTGCAGGGCCTACGATGTCGCAATGTCAAAGCAACACAAGAGCATCTCTGCCGCCGATGTCATGCGGGCGCTAGACATCCTCGAGTTGGGGGATATGGTCGAGATGATACAGGAGGATCTGCAAGGTGACTTTTTCTTTGTTATCTTTGATCGTTTTCTCTCACACAGCACTCAGCTTTTCGCGATGAACAAAGGTCGGCTGGGAAAGCCAGCGGTCACGATAGCGTATCTCTGTCAGCATCTAGACTCTCTGTGCAGCCGGGGGCCCCGACTATCAGGATCAAGCCGCCCAAGAAGGAGCCTGCGTCGAGAGCCACTTCTTTGTCCTCGTATTCGAGACGACAGGATATGGATAGCCAGGGACGCGCAGAGTTTGGGGAGGCCACCCCAGCCCTATATCATAATTGGCAAAGTAGCAGCCATCCTGACGGCGGCAACTCGGATGAGGAATAGGACACACGGACAGATATTTTTGATTCTCACTTTCTTGCGTCGTGCTTTGTTGCTGTCATATGTACTTGCTATCGTCAAACAGTGTTGGCCGTATTCAGCCTAGCTAAATTATCGTTTCAGGTTGTATCTTGTATGTATTATTACTGGAGGCGCCGAAGGCCCGTGACTAAATGCGTTGATATTGAGCACGAGTATGAAGAAAGGTATAGGTATTGTAGTAATCCCAAAGTCCAAACAAAAGAAAAGTCCCCATGCTGATCATATCTATTACTTGTAAGGAATGCCTAGGGAGGGAGAATAAGTTGGGGACGACGTGCATATGCATCTTCAACTCACCGTTTTGAAGCTACCAAAAGGGTCAGAATATGTCATCAAAAAGACAAGAACGGCTTACCCTCTGGAACTCATCATACGCCGTACTCCTCACATTCTCATGCGCATTTCTCACCACAGCCATCATATGCTCCGCAGCCTGGCGCTCATTCAGCGTCAACGCAAACCTATCACGCAGACGCTTGATCGTGCCCTCGCCTTTGAACGACGGGAAGCCCGTATCGAGCATAAGCTGGACAGTGCTTATGAGCTGCTCGGCATGTGGTCGAATGGCGAGGAATGCCTTGATGGTGAGGTGCTGGAAGAGTTGATACCCTTGCGAGTATCTTCCGCCCATGAGAACGACCATCTCATGATTGAGTTTGAACGAGTGCGGCTCGAATTTGACACCCTGAAATAGACAGTAAATAGCGGATAAGCGGCATAAAGGGGCTGCTTACTCCTGGACGTAAAGACAAAGAATGACATCGTTAGTTTAGACTAGACGATACAAATCTAAAAGAAACACATATCTATGTCGAACAGGAACCCGAAATCTGACAAGTAAAGATACGTCAGCTTGCTGCGTCAACACACTTCCCGAAAGGCCTTACCAATATGCACGATATGACCTTCCCCGTCAATCATAATGTTGCCATTGTGCCGATCCTTGATTTGCAAGATATAGCATGCAACAGAATACGCAGCCATGGACTGTATGAAGTTCATACGCGCTTTCTGGAACGGTATCGTGTCTTGTCCGCCATACTTGGCAACGAAAAAGTCAAGCAGGTCATTAACTTTTGCACGGCCCATCTCATCCCGAGAGGTCGCATTAGGCACGACGTCAATGACGCCACACTACATCGCATATCAGCAAACTGAGGATTAAACATAACGAGAAACAGACTCACTCCGGGTGCGGTAGCAGTCACCCGATAAGGGTATAGATACAGAGTCAACCCAACGCTAGTGAATATGTTTTTGAACATGGCGATGATCTGTAACGCAAGAACGTCTTGACGACAATCATCTCCGACTTTGAAGATGGCTTGTTGCCATACATCGTACTCAGTGCGAATTTCAATACCTCCACCCTCGCCATCGAGAAGTGAGTCGGGATCAGTGTTGACCGTTACCCTTTCCTTTCTGACTTTAAAAGTGGCCATAAATGGCGCCTATGGAACTAGATAAGCAGGGAAACAACATCGTACAAGAATATAACCTTAGCGTGACTCTGCAGAGGTCGTCCAGATTTCTTGTCGACATCAACCACTTTCCCATCAGGATTACTAGGCAAGTATACTCCGACAGCAACGACAATCTTAGCCATCTCCTCGTCGATTTTGGCCTGGGCACAGTTTCAATTACGGTTTCGATATGCGTACGAGTTAAGCGCACCTTCTTTTCAGGCTTGGTTTTCTTGATGAAGGGTTTGAGTTTCCCAGATATCGACGTCACCTCATGGAAGAAACCAAATTCACGGTCGTAGAATTCCCGAGCTTCGCCAGACAAAGACCCAACGACGAGATTTGTCATAGAATCGAGACTAGGCTTCAAAGGGTCCGCCTAACGCCTCATTGAGTATTAAGCAATACGACAGATAGTGGAAACTGACCACTTCGCCGGCATCATCCTTAAAGCAATTGGCCTTCATGTTCCAGATGATTTGATGACAAAAGAGCTGAGAAATTTTTGCAGTCTCAAATATGAATCGTGCAACGTATCCTTAGCAATGAAATGAGCATAGGGCTTAATTGCGGGAGAGTGGACGGACCTAGGTCATCATAGCGAAGTGCCTGAACTACTTGAGGGACGAAAAAGAACGTAATCTCTACAGGATGTTGCTCCAAAACCCGGTGTGCGTATTGCAAAACCATTGGATCACTGTTATATCGGCGCTCAAAGAACGTGTTGGCAATCACCGGAGGGACAGGTGCCCATAGCAAAAGGTACTGCTCACAAATCAGAATGAAGAAGCTAGCACAAAACATATCCAACTCACCCTGAGATCTCGGCGAACAGCGGGATCCACTCTATTTTCTACAAGGAAATGTAGAGCTTCTGGTATGTCAAGAACTTCGATGGTGTTTGACTTGACCAGTTTTCCAACTTCGCTGCGAAGAATAGGAAGCTTGAAACGTTCGGTCATATACACAGGAATAGCAGGGTCGATCCTCCATGTCGTCCGAAGGATTTGAACCCATGCATTCTACGGAAGGATGTTAGGAACATACAGTGCAGACCCAAAAGAGTAGAACACTTACATCCAATAAAGTTCGTTCGGAGGAGATTATATGGTCGGCACCCCTACGAGGGTCGTTGGCAGGATTAGCCCAGACGTGGAGTCTATAGATCTCGCTTTCGACCAGGAGCTTCAGGGGCTGATTAATTGTATGAAGCCTGTTAGTATAGACTTTTAAATGCTTAAGTGTCTGTTGCACCCGTGAAGATGGTTATGGCACGTACATGTACTTCGAGATGGCGTCTGGGCTGGTGACAGACTCGAGATGACAGCAGATGCTCGAACAGAATCTGTTTGAAGATACGACAAGAACTCAGAGAGCACCTTGACATCGGCATCGATTTGTACCCGATTAGCACCGTACGTCCATCTATCGATCAGAGTTAGTATTCATTGCCATGAAAGATATCGCATGGTCATACTGGGGTCGCACTGCGAACCATGAATAGGCAGCAGAATACAAGCTCTCACGCATTTCACTTTCACAAAATGAATCCAGATGAGAGCTCTTGAGTGTTTCGAATCCGAAAAGAAGAAAAGAAAACCGAGCCTCTCGCGCCAATGCATGGGTGCTAAAATAGGAAGGTGAGGAAACTCGAGATTACATGGATCATTTACCGACCTCAAGGTTTTGTGTGCTCTCGCTGACAGTAAGACAAGATGTTGAATCAAAAACATAACCCCAGGCCGACGGTATCTAGCAGCTTGCAAACGACTGAAAAGCATTTGTAGGACCAACGCATGAGGCATAAGCAACCGTCGAGCATTTAACATCCCGCGATCGATTTCTCCCTTCTCAGTGGGGCTATAATTGACAGGCTGATAGAAGGGATCCGCATAGCTATGCAAAAGAAGAATTAGAGAAATACAAGGAAGGCAGCAACACAACTAACTTCAAAACCGCTGAAAATATACCCCTTTCTTGTCGAATTGTGTAAGACCAAGCAGATAAAACTTCGTTCATGAGAGCAACCTCGATGTCGTTCTTTTCAGCGATAACCCACGTCCAGACTTCAATGCCGGTGGAAATGGCAGCCGGTGTGGCAACTTCAAACGGAAGGGCAACCAAATAATGAAGCAACTCGTAATCGCACTGTAAAGTGACGTTAACAAACATCCAGACACAGTGTCTTCATTGTAAGCTCACGTTTGAAAGGGAAATGATCATGGCAGCGCATCGGAACAACAGGCGCTTCAAATCTTGGACCGTCAAAGTACTTGTTTTGCATCGTATTTCCTTCATGGAATGCGCCAGTTTCTCTTTGAGAGCGAGTACTTCACCGGATGGAGCCGACTGTGGAGGCAGTTTTTCCAACCTGTCGGCACCTGAAAAAGAGTCAGCATGAAATACTACCATATGTAAAGGCGCCATGACCTGATCGACTCGCCAATCGGATGCCAGCCGCCTCGCCTGCAAAGTAGCCTTTGCTCGCGATTTGGCTCGCTAATATATTGGCTTTATCCAAAGTTCTGTTCGAAAGCGCTGAAAGCGAAACTTCAAGCGGGTTAGCACAGAAATAAAGGGTGAATTCGAACTTACTCAGTTGGCGTTGCACTGGACCAATTGCTTTCCCAAATTGTTCAGCAACAGAAGCCCCAAGTTCGGCCCCATCTATTCCAGAAGTTGATTGGTGTACTGCTAGATATTTTTGTAATGTTGATTGGAGCTCGACTGGGGCGCGCCCAAGCGCCAACTCGAACCAATTATTAGCATTCCTGTGTAGCTGTGCTAATATTTCGTTTCGGACTTGATAGCTATCCGTGAGTTCAAGAGTGATCCCTGCACGTGTAGAAGTGTATTCGTATACCGGGTTATACTATATTGCCGACTTGTGAGCCACGAAAATTAGCATGGCCGAACAAAAGCATACCTCGTCGGTGAACTCGTTCTCGCAAGACCGGTGCAATAGTGTGAGTACCTCCAGAATCGCAAATACGAGGGGGGGATCGCACATAAGGGACGGAAAAGATGATATGAGCCGATTGAGAAACTTGAATGCGATATCTCTTGCCCTGGCCACTGGATGAGTGCTGCATAGGAGTAAAGCCCGTAGCTCAGATGATAATGTCTCGGGAAGGGCCTGCTGAGCTGCTTGGGTGTTTAAATCGTTGATACAACCTCGAATGACCTAAAAGCACATTTGTCAAGGAGTGGGCAGTACGGCGAGGTATTGAAGCACCTTCTCTGCGATAGAGTCCATGCACGAGCTGAGTCCTAGATGCCGATTAAGGCTGTCATTGACAAAGTAGGTGGCAAGGGATGATGGCAATCCTGCCGCAGAGCGCATAGTCTCCATATCATGCATTGTCAACAAGAAAACGATCTGCCCCGACGATAGCGACCGTATATCACTAGTTCGGAGCGGTATATGTCTAGTAAGAGATGACTTGTGCTTGAGAATTACCTGTAAATGTGTCGGTAACAGAATAATTTGATAATGAAAGAGGATCAGTACCGTATGTGCATACTCCTGACGGATCACTGAGTTGTACTCGACATCACTAACCACAGCATCTTGAGATTCTTCGACTACCGTAGCAGGAGTCTTGATGGCAATGCGAGCCATTGCAGGCCTTTGCCATGCCATGGCATTCGAATCCATGGCGTCGTCGGATGTAAAGTGGAACAGGATGCAAAGGAACCACATGTTTCGGAATAGGGCGACAACTGCCGAAGACGCGTCGACGTGAGGATTGAAGTCACCATGAGACAGAAGGGCATCGATAGGCAATAACAAAGACGCTAGCTGCTCAATCATATCATCGGTCTACATGAAATTAGCACTTCAAAACCAGACTGAAAGTAAAGCTAAAGACCTTAATGTGATGATTCGCAATCTTCACGTTCTGGATAGCGACACCCTTATCAGCGAAAAGGGTCAGTAATTCCACCAAGTAAATATCGTATAGTTCGGGACGACGATGCAACTCCTGAGCCAGCCTGGTTTGTGCAGCAAGCACCTATAAGCGATCAGCCCCAAGCTTAAAAGATGAAACCGAAATGATCACCATGTTGTTCGAAAACCTAGGGTCGTCCGGATTGGCAGAACGATTGATCGTAGAAAAGACACGTATGATATCCACGAATGCGGTCTCAGGAGCAAACAGAGCCAAGTCAACAAGATTATAGGCGATTGCTGCCTCCATAGTTGGTTCTGCTGATCGAAGGCGCTGCAAAAGCATCGAAATGGTAAGACGTGTAACCTGTCCGTGGAGTGATTCTTAGAAAAAATGTAAGAGACGGCAAAAAGCAAAGTACCTCCTCCATACGGAACTCGAGCGCCAATCGGCTCACAACAGATATTGTACTGATACCCACAACCCTCTTCTCATCTTCCGATAGCGCGTGAAGTCCAGTTTCGACGGATTGTAGCGTGCCCTGATCTTGCCCCGAGTAAAGAGGGTTACTGAATATCTGATAACTACTGGAGCTTTCGTATATTTCCTTGCTCGTTGCAGCTATGTAATTCAAGAGGGAATACATGTTCGACATGATAAGATCGTCACCAGGGGCCAACTAAAACAGACGCGTCAGGACAATTATGATAACGCGGCACATAGAGTAAAAGCTACGTTACTTTGATACACTGAGCAAGGCACTTTGCTGCAGCTGCCAAAGGAGGCGGAGCTCTGGTCTCGGAAGCAAATTCGAATTGAAATATTGACAAGGGAGCAGTAACAAAGCGTCGCAAATGAGCCGCCATTCGGGCAGCAATTTTAGGGAAGCTTCAAAGTTGTTCAATCGGTTAAACGCTTTGATACAGAGGACTGACACTTACTTCTGAACCAGAACAGTTGTCGCTTTTAATGCGGCCTCTTGAACGAGGTTGTCAAAGATAGGCGACTCTTCACTGAGTAGTAGGAGAAGTCGCGAATACAACTCTTCGTCGAGTTCTTGAAGAGCCACGGAGCAGACAGAAGCCAATTTCTGTGGAAGCCATATCAGAAGCAATTTCGAACGCAGACAAAAATCTCGCACCAAGCTTTCCGACATGGTTTCCCATGCATATGTATCAGGCGGAGGGTCAGTATCCATATCCTCAATTTGGACCAGTAAATCATTAAAGCACTGCATTGCATACTGGATCGTTGACTTCAGAGTGGCGATTGTAGCTTCCTCAGTGATGTCCAACTCGATGGCTGTCCGCTTCATTAATGAATTCCAAGCCTTATTCGCTGCCACTGCTTCTGTGGAGTTACCGATGGGGCCAGTTTGCGGCGGAGCTTGGGCCTGAGCCAATACGGTCCAAGAAGTCTCTAGTACGCAGCAGACTATGAAGTATCCACTGAGAGGACGTCCACGAGAGAGGTAGCGAGCTAAAAATGTCTCGATGAAGTGTCGAGTATCGACGTCGGGTACATCTTCATTGACAATGTCCCCGATAAGTCGATTCAAACGGTCGATATTGTCCACAAAGCATAAGCTACCGAGGGCTTCTCTCAACTGTTGCCATTGTGAAGTACTCCAGGCGAATGACGTAGAGCTAATTGCGCGGTAAAGGCCATGTAAAGCTGGGGCTAGCTGAGTGAGGACATCCAGAGCTGTGGAAACGTATAGTGTGACAACAGACAATAGAACTTGGTACCAGACGTACGAGCAGTAGTTGATATCTTTGTTTGAATATCTGAAATGAACGCAATAATAGCGCCGGTTGCTGAATCGCTGTACTGTGGATGCAATCCCGACACTCGCAGTAGCGCAGAGACCGTTGAAAACACCAGTTGATCAGGAAGTGACCAGTCTTAAACCACGTTAACAGAAGTCATGACAATTTCTGAATGCTGTTCACACCTTCCCACGAAAGACAGCGATCAAAATCAATGTAGGGTACATCTCGAAGAACGTCGATGAGCACTGGCATTATGGTCCCTATTCTCTCGGAAATGTGCGATTCGGGAAAATTGAAAACGAGTTCTCCAAAGGCGATGTTGCAGTGGACTCTGGAAGCAGGCTAGAGGGATATTAGCCTTGAAGCAGGCCATGCTGAATTTTTTGACGAACCATGAACACCCTGTCAGTAGTTTCGGCATCCACCTTACTATTTGGCTTGGAGTACCCATTGGGAACATGGTCGGGTTTCTTTCCGGCAATCCTGGTCTGGACTTTTGAAGCAATGAGGGTCCCGCCATAGCGATAGTCGTCCTCTGTTTCACTAACGCCCAAGGCAATGTCGGAGAGAATTCGCTGGTGTATGTTGAGTTCGATGCTGAAGAGAGATAGTTATTGAGAAAATTGGTCGATATATATGTGAATATATGCACCAGTCCATGTTTCAGCCGAGAAGAGGTGGACGACGTAAGAGCAGAATGGTGGGTGTCTATTTGTCAATGGCTTTTCGGGTATATCCGTCTAAAGCAAACAAACGCGTCGCGTCACTTTCCAGCCATCACTCATCGACAAATATGCCACGAACGCCCAGTACGTTGCTCTTGACTGTGCTATCATTTCGACTCATTCTCCTTGTTTAGAAGCAAGGCAAACTCGGCTCACGGCGCCAACATCCTTTGTCAATGAGAACAGTGACGACGACAGCTTTGGTTTTACTGAAGCCTCCCGTAGTCGAAGACAGGAGGACGACAACATTGAAAATTCAGATGATGACGCCAAGACGTGATTCATTAGCTTCATGTTCATTCTGTGACTGAATCTTCGCCTCAGGATGGCCAAGTTTCTTCAGGAATACAAAAGTGTCTCTGAGAGTGATGATGAGCCCTCAATCTTCTAATCAGTTATACAGAGCAACGAGCAAAGAAAAATTCCGCTCGATCCGTGGCTTTCGATGGGCAAAAAAAGGCGCTGTATGCGTCAGCCCGCAAGACTGCCGAGGAGATATCGAGAGACGGCATCGCTTACCTGTGAGTAGCCTACATCTTCCGCAACAGTATCAGTTACATTATTATCTAGGGAAGAGATGAAAGCTCAGGTCATGAACATGAAACAACAAGAGATATCCTACGAGAAGTATACCAACGGCCTTAGCCAGCTTGGGGAAGACAGCAATGTTTGACTAACCTTCCTACTGTCCGCCTCTTCTCATTCCGCATCATTCTCCAGGAAGCCCTTATCAAGCTGCTAGCAATATACCCCTTGGTCAAGGAGGATTTGTTTGTTCGTCGTCGTCAAGCGCTCGAAATTGCTGGCAAAATGCGTCGGTTAATTATTCCTTTATCGTACCCACCCTCTGATTCTTTTCAGTGAAATCCAACCCTTCAAAAAAAGAACAAGCTCTGCAACAATTCTTAAGAAATGCTCATGGACAGGTGGAAAAAAGCCGGCAAAATGAAAAAGTACGCGTGTACAGAGCCTATTAACTTACAACGCTTATTCATCTACAGCTCGCGACTGATGCTTCAAAGCTTATCAAACACTACAAGGATCTCCTTCGTGGCTGAGGATCCTTTCTACCTGCTGACGCTTCTGGCTCGACGGGCTGTGCTTACTTTTGCTCTGCTTCTTCTGGATTGCAACACTGTATTATCTCTCTACCATGCTCAATAATGTGTCTTGATCTGGTCACAATATCTACTAGCAGATAACTGAATCGCAGAGAAATAACGATAACCAAGGCGCTCACCAGTTCGGAATCCGAACGTGATACATGGCTTCGTTCCCTACTTCGCAAATCTTCGGGCCGAAGGTTCAGATATTCAGACATGAAGACACGTAGTATGAGATTCCACCGACGCATTGTTGGCAAGTCCAGCGCCGATGCATCGTCCTTTGGTGAAACATCAGCCAAGAGATGAGTACTGCAAAAATACTTACCCGCAAAGTGTGCCAGACACGAGGAAATGGCTCTGCAATTACATGCAGAATGCTGATACCTCGATGCAAAAAAGGAACATGGTCGTCTCCCATGTTCCCCAAATTCCTTTCATCCCCAGTTCTCGGCGTAAAATATGATGCCCAATGTCCAGGAGCCATGCCGGTATAATCATCGTACTGGAAGAAACCATGATCACCCAATCTCTGCTCTGAAGATGCCATTGCATCGAAGAGCCACCCTGTCTCTGTAAAGTAGGATCTTATTGTGGGCTGGGATGCACCAAGTAGGTCGAGTAAAATCAGGTGTTCTATGCCATGCATCTCAGTCACTTGTGGACCAAGAAGACGCCGTTTCGAGTGAGGCAGGATATATGTCGTCTCCCATTTCTCCGCTAGATGTCTTTACAACGTCAGACACATCTACTGGGACTAAATTCTGTAGAACACACCTCGCACCATAAATTGAATCAGTGTTTGTCCAGGATACAAAGGCCTCTTCCCCATCGAAGAACACGAGTTGCAGAGTAATATCAGCAACATCTTCATCGTCTTCGGTGCCTTCTTCCACCCTCTTTTGTCGACTATCCAGGAGCGGGTTCAATGCCCCAGCAAGGTCGAGCATCATCGCGCATGGGGCAGCAGAATCAGTTGCTCCTACAAACTGGGTCCCCATCAGATCCCAGGGTACTAAGATGGAGAAGCACAGACCTGGTTCGCAGGGTATGATGGAAAGTATTTGCTGTCAAAGTGCGCCGACAGAATAACCCGCCGCGGAGCTGCTGGGTCCTTTGTCGCAATGAGATTCGTGAACCTTTTCTCCCCGACGGGTGTCTGTCCAGTGAATTCATCCTCCTCGACGTGCCAATTGAGGGCCTCGAGCGTGGTCTTTATGTAGTTTCTGACCAAAGTGTTGTTTTCTGTATCCGCTGTATGAAGGTCGGTGAGAGCCCTCGACTGAATTTCCGGCCAACATACGTGCACGAGGGATCAAGATCTTGGATAAATGTGAGGAAGGATTCGAGGGGTTCAGGTTTTCGAGAGGGTCGGGGGTAGAGACCAATATCGATATGTCGTCAGTAGAGAGCTCCGTCAAGGTCCGCTCACCCAATGTAGAAGCCTGGAACGACGGCAACGGCGACAAAAGGAGAAGCAGCAACCATACTGAAGGCGCCAGGAGGTGGACGGCCTTCATGGCGCTGAGAGAGAGGAATCAAATAACGTACTCACGCTCATGACCTTGGCGTCTCACCATCATGGCCATCTTCGGGCTCTGGGTACGTGTTCCCTCTCTACTGGCGAATGGCTGCTGGAACGTCGTCTTCGTAGGTCATCAACAAGGCAGGAGGCCTTGTGTACCAAAGAAACTTTGCAGGTCGGGATACGGTCGTCATATTGCCTATTGTGCTCATTTTGCAGTAGATGGCCTCGCTCAGCTAACATCCAATGAGTACCTCGTCCTCGCTGGTACACTGCACGGTATCCACGCCATTACGAGTCGTCTGTCGCCGATGGGACCTAGTTCAGGTGCTCAGGTTATCGAGGGAGAGTCGTTCAAGATGACGATATTGCTTACCGCTACAGGTGCGTCTCCGTTGTTGCTCCATACGGCTCTAACATTGTGTAGGAACGAAATTCGTTCTTTTGACCTCCCTGGCAGAGCTCTCAGCAGAATCGATATTGCAGAAAGTGCACGAAGCGTACGCAGATGCAGTGATGAAGAATCCTTTTCACACTCCAGAGATGCCCATTCGGAGTGAAGGCTTTGACCTCCGAATCAGTTTTCTTATTGGCAATGGACAAATGTGATGACGGAGGTAAGGTATACTTCTATTCCTATGCCGCATATTTCTCAGCTTTTTTCTAGAGTCTGAGATTACATATATCGACATCGATTTCCAAGTCGAGGTCAACTCTTACGCCTTCTGCGCGTAATAACATGCAGAAGATGAGCTATTCCGCCCGGCTAGGGCACGTTCCTTCGCATATTGCTTGATGCTCAAAACCTTATAGTCGCTCTGGTCCTCCTAGCCGACCACATGTTTAACATAACAATGACAATTCATTATAGGCTCTTTAGTTCTAATTCAATTTCTCAGATCAAGAACAGCTACTGCAAAGCTGCCCAACGATACGTCATCATGTAGATTTCGAAGGACAGGTCGTGCTTACTATCGATCTCGTTGAACGCTTCCTAGAGCAACAAATTGGAATGATATCCCAGCGGATCGATCGGAGGTCATGTTGCCAATGGTCATAGGAAAAGATGTCTTGTGTTGAGTGCATCCATTGCACGGTACAAAATTCCCAAATTTTGCCGAAGCTTTGCACCAAGCCAGTCAAATGAATTTTATGACGGCTTCTTCAGCGTTCCAAGGCCAAAAGAGAGGCTGCCCGTGTCGAGTAGATTAACCTTTCCGAACGCCTGAAGCTGCCTATCAAACGATACCACTAGACTTGGTCTCACCGTCAGCTGATGAAAATTAATCAACTCGAACAGGCGAATGTCATCTACTGATATCGAAGTGAGCAATGGCTCGAGTCTACGATATGACAAGGCAGCAAATGCAAACCCTTCAAATCCATGTCTGGACGCATGCACTCGGACGAGATGTATCCCTGGTAAAACAAATGCAGCGTGCAAAAGAGAATAAAAGTACTAATAGCAAAAACTAAAACTACATTAGGTCAAAAATACAGTTACTCCCTCTCCGAAACTTTCTCCAGCTGTTGTCGTTTTCTAGACCCGCCACTACCAGAAGAAAGTATTAGCATGGCTCAGGAAAGGTTACAAATACTTACGCGACAGTATCCAGCCCTCTCTTTTTGCCAGTCTTCGCTTCATCCAAGAACTGGTTGAGACCAAACACATCACCAGTGTCCTTCTCGAACTGCACTGGGCCTTCCCGAACTTCTTGCTCGTTCGCACCTTCGAACCCAACCCGCACTTGACCCAGACCAAACCGATCATTGTCCAACGCCTTCCCAATACCCTCATCGGTACCACCACCGAACGAATCATCATTGCCCTCCGAAATATTGCCCCGAGCTTTGTATATCGCCGCAGCCGCAGTAGAGCCGTGGAACAGAGGCTTGTCATAGAGATTGTACGTGTCATCGTCAGCGAAGCTTCCGGATAAAGATTCTTGGTTGAATAACCGCGAATCCAGCATAGACTCTTTGGACAATGTTGGCTTCGCAAGACCGAGTGCGACTTTCTCTGATATATCCCGATTCTGTTGACGAGCAAGCTGCTTCGCGCGTTGCTCTGCACCCATGTTGTTCATCCTCATCTCCCGCTCCCGCTCACGTCTCTTTTCTTGCCGCATCTCGTCACGTATTCTTCGAGCGTCCTCATCTTCAGCGCTGTCATTAGAGTCGGAATCGCTGTCACTGTCACTTCCATAGTTGGCCAAAGATGCTTTCATAGCAGCCTGACCCTGAGCGGTTGGTTTGGGAGCGACGCCGCCACGTTCCTCTCGGGCGCGTTGCGCGAGCATGCGCAAGTTCTCTTCCTTGGAAGCCTTCTCCTTTTGCATCAGTTTCTGTTGCATAAGTGACCGTTGCCGGACTTCCTCGCGCGCATGTCGGTCCGCAACAAACAACGCTTCTGAAAACTTGGCGAAATTGTCGTTAATATGAACCTAAGTGGCATTAGCTAATAGATGGAATAAACAATTTGGTCACTAACATCTTGTAAACCTCGGCCGTCCGCAGCTAATCGCTTATCCAGCGGAATGGTAAAACCTTTGTTGTTCTTCCAGTTCGAGATGCATGGTGGTATCATCCACTCCTTTTGCTCGGCAGCGGTGGCCTTCCTGGGAGGACTCCTTAGTACAGGAGGAGGGGGACTTGGGGGACCTCTTGGAATCTTCTTATGCTTGAATCGGGGCGGCTCTAAAGGATCTTCCACAATTTCTGACATCTTTATTATCCGCTGTTTCAAGCCATCACCATTTTGTTGCCCCGGCGTATAACGAATGAACGATGTCTTCCCTTGACTATCTGGAACGTTTTTCGGTTGTGCGGCTTTGATTTTTCCATTGACGAGCTTTTCAAGCGCCGCGCGCGTCTTGTCGGCGGTCGCTTGGACTTCCTCTTCAGATGGACGTTCCATTAAGCGATCAGAGTCCTCGAGGTCTTTGCGGTGGAGAAGAGGGACAAGGTCTTTGAATTGAGATTGAATGAGTTTGTCGGGTCGCTGCCCTTGATGAGCAATCGCATCGTAACGGATATTGCCTTCGCTGTCGACCTGCAAGGCTAATGTGTTCCCTGAAGAAGCCTGAACGAGGTGAGACATATCATTTCATGATATAAAATAGAGACACACTTTCTTCCGACCCATCTCCAATGGATATTGCGCTACATGACACTCCGGATACGCACCACCATCGCCTGGCCAGCGATGAGTACAAGGAAAATGTTCAAAATATCAACGCACCGTAATCTTCCGGTCTAGTTGGCTTCCATCCTCTACGCTGACCGTACGGTGGAACGGGAATGCGTGTAGAGATTATCTGTTGCTGTGCTGGAGCAGACGGCCGAACGATGTCCTCCTCATCGTCAGAGATAACAGTCTCATAAACAGGTTTAGGAAGCAGCCTAATGAATCTCTTTAGTGGAAAACGACACAGAAAAGGCGAAGGACTGACGCAGCAAGAGCAGCCATGAAGGGAATGGAGAAATTAGAAGTCGGGGTAGCGATGCTGACAAACTATTGATAGCTGTTTACCGCGGCACACCTCGGCATTGCCGGCCTGATGTCATCCTTTACTAAGGAATTTTCTTCGCTTCGATGCTTAGAATATGCGTAGTTCGAAAATGACTAGCTCAACAGTAGCTTTCAGTTTGATGCCGAAGAATTTTGTTTACTCTGATACACCTTCAACTACATCGTGCCCAAAAAACCAGCTGTCATTTGGCAAGAGTTGAGCCCCAGATGTACTTCTCATACGGTCATAGGAGAAATCCTAAAAGGTGGAACCAACGGCGTAGATGGCCAAATACACGAGTGGCTCAAGTCGAGGAATAGGCTCGCAACTCCCATTCCCCGGCTGCTAAATAATGTTGTGCATTTGGTTTATAACAGTGGGAGGGCATGGCTTACTGGTCAAGCGAGAAGGGCTGCCGCAAGTGTGAAATTTAACAGCACTACTACGAAGGGAGCACAACAGTCCTTACATAATTCATGAAGCTGATTATCATCTGTTTGACGTCAGAACTTGGATTTTATAACGATGAGAAGATTGGGGGTTATGCTCTCGAGACCCCTCGAAGGCTTATGGCCCGCTATTCCGACAGATGTAGATGTGGTATGGCGGCAACTATTTATCAAGTACTCGCTCGGAAGCGGCGATGTCCAAATTTGGACGACCTATGTTTCCACCACCTTCCACGGACGCGGACTCGTCAATCCGTTCCACCGACTCGGATGCTGCACTCGCTAAGCTATCTGCAGTACAAAAGCAATATCTTCGTGATCCATACATCCAATACTTCGTTCCTCGTTCTCATCTTCACGCCGCTCGACCACCTTTGATCAACATCGGGACATATGTTCGCACTGCTGCCATCGATGACCTTGTCAATCAGTGGCTCTCTCTGTCCCATGATGAAGGGAAGCAATGTCAGATAGTGAGCCTTGGGGCGGGCAGCGATACGCGATATTGGCGAATTGCGGTACGTGAGAAATGCTTTCTGTGGCTCCTTGTTTGCTCAAAGATCGGTCAGTAGGCAGGCCCTCAGAAAGATGCCCTATCGACTTATATAGAGATTGACTTTCCTGAAATAACAAGCAAGAAAGCGATGGCAATTAGGAAGAATAAACAGTTGGGCGCTGTCTTCGGCAACCCAGCCAATGTCAAAGTCTGTCAGTGGGTCCTATGCGTCGTCGCGTTCTGTAACATATTTACCCTGTATCAGCTGGCGGAGGAGCTGCTCTCCATGCTTCCAAGTATCACCTTTTACCTGCCGACCTTAGACTCTCCCCGCAAGAGACTCTGGGTCCTCTTCTAGCTCAGGTCTCGGAACCTCTTCTCTCGTCTTCACTCCCCACACTCTTACTTTTTGAATGTGTTCTCGTGTACATGTCACCAACTTCTTCCTCGTCCCTTCTCAAGTGGTTCTTGCATTATTTCTCCCAGTCTGGCGACAACGGTCTTCTTGGAACTATCGTATACGAAATGTTTGGTCTTGAAGACTCTTTTGGACGCGTTATGGTTGACAATCTCAAGGTAATCTTGTATCTGTATGCGCATTCAAATGGTAATGATACTGCCAGGCACGCAATATCTCTCTTCCCGGGGCAGAACCGTATCCCACTGTTGAATCGCTTCCTACGCGTTTTACCAGCATCGGATATACGGCAGCCCGGGCGCTTACACTTCGGGATATACGTCTTCAATATATTGACCGAGCAGAGTTAAATAGGTGAATTCCTTTTTTAAGAACTTGCTTCCTCAGCTCATCAGCACGCAGGATATCAACCCTCGAATTCCTAGATGAGGTGGAAGAATTAGATCTGGTCTTGAATCATTATGCAATTACGTGGGGACTCTGGCATCCTAAGACCCAAACAAAAGCATTGTGGGGTATGTGGGGTCTGAAGACATAGCTTTACCCTAGAAACACTTGATTGCATGATTGACGATAGCGAAACAGTACACAAAGTCCAGATCATATAAGACTACGGATAGAGTGAGAAAGCTGGAAACTGATGTTTTCACGCACATCCAGCCTTGATGTTGACATTGAGCTTCTCGAGACATTCAAATATCAGTCCCAAGGCAATCAGCCCAAAGCTCTTGGCCCCAAATTCGTTCGAATGGCGGAGGCTATAGTCCCAGGTGTACCATGCATGTTCAAGTGCAACCCTGTACGTCTCTGGGGGTACCTCCTCCTTCATTTCAAGCTGGGCGGTCGTGAGGGGCAGCAACTCCTGTTGAATGCTCTTCACCAGCTGCGAAGCGTGTCCGCGCATGCGCCACGTACGATCCTTCCTCCATCTCCTTTGCGTGCACTTGGCTAGAATTGTGCCCACAACGATCTCGGCTTCTAATAATCTGACCCCTGGGGTGTTTGAGAGCGTGTGCGTGGCGCAGATGTAGCGTAATTCGCTTTCATACCGGCGGAAGAGGATTGCCGTTTCGGGAGACACTCCGTCAGGGTCGATGTAAGGCCAGAGCTGACGCTGAATGTAAGTCTTGAGCATCAACGATAAAGGGTCGGTCGAAAGTTGTGAAATAGAGTGTTCGTCCGAAGCAGGTGTATCAGAGGGCAACATCTCGGGATCCGTCCATCTGATAGAGCGGAACATGTGTCCAAGGGCCCGAGTCGATTCATAGTAATCTGTCGAGCGTGGATCGACCACCTCAGCGGCATGCCAGTCAGGTTTGCACCGAATAAGCGTGTGCGGTAGGTTGTCATTATCAATGTCAACGGGAATCCCTTGCTTGGGGTAGTCGACGGCCTACAAACAAGTCTTAGTGAAACTCCCAAATGACGATACCTGACCGACCTGAGCGCAAAGTGTTGCTAACCATTTGCAGTCCTTATCGTAAATTCCTTCCTGAGATGAAAGTAAGCGGCAGAGACACTCAAAGAGAAATATACCTACAGATGATTGATCTTCGGGATATGTCAAGAAGCTTAGCTAACATCGCAAGTACATCTTGATCACCGCACCTGCTATAACGAGAAGTCTATCTGACAATAGACCCTGCAGGAAATGAGGTATGTTATACAGACAAACCTTGCTGTGGATCAAAAACACACCAGAACATCCGAATTGATGTATTCAACGATGAAATCGGCAATGTCGTTGACATCACATTCTCTCGGTTCACCATCTTCACCCAGAGCGACGTAAGTCCCTGCGCTAGCATATGACGCCGTATCATCGACAACTGGAGGCATGAGAACCGGGTAGGGGACAACGTCATAGATATCACTGTGACGCGATTAGTGACGGCAAAGCTCTGGAAAGAAGGCAACGAACCCATCCAAGTCACCACCACTAAGTTTTGAGGCCAAGGATCTCTCGCCTACAGAGTTTATCAGAGCTTGCATCAGCCCGGCCGGATAGTACCTACCGACGGAAGGAAGGACAACCGCATTGCGGATATGAGCAAACGCGCAGAACATATTATCAGGGGGCTTGACGCCTACAACTTGTTGTACTATTCATCGATATGAGATTAAGTGGTCATTGAAACACCGATACTTGCTCACTGTCACCTGGATGAACCACCGGGCTGCGAGATATTATGCAGGGACCCACAATCCACTCCGGTTTGTCTTCAGGACGTTTCTGAACACAAGCTGTCGTGTAGAGCAAGATGAGAACTCAGTGCACTCGGAACATCAGCGACTGACCATATATTTCCGTTTGTTTCAAGGTGAAAACATTCGTATAGCCGTTTTTTTCGTATGCGGGCCCTTCATCTGGCACACCGACTAGCAGATAGCTTTCAGGAATTGGGATTCTGGCTTGATGCTTGATTTCTCGTAATAGGTCGATTTTGGCTACTTGACGTAGTTGCTTCAGGAAGGGCGTATCGATGCCAGGAGTACATCTCTGAGGATGAAAATCGAAACCTAGGTCGGAGATCTTATCGAGTATATATGGTAATCGATAGCCGGAGCCTAAAGAATGACTCTTGAGAATGGTGTTGAAGCGGCCCATTGAGTCATCGATGGTCAAAGTATCAGCGACCACGTTATCCTGCAATTCCTGAAGATTTGCTCTTCTAACTTGTTTGTCTTCCAATATCATAACCAACGGCCTTGATGTAGGGTGTTAGCATCTGATGATCGAGAATTAGAGAATTCTCTGACCTGTTGAGATAAGAAGTACCAGGTTTATCGAAAGCTCGAGCAATCTCTATATCTGCTTCCATCGATCTCGAGTCTTCGAATTTCTTCATACTAGGCCTCAGCCTCATCCTGATACCGTTGGGTTCCTTGTCGAGTTCAGGATCGACTGCAACGACGCCTTTGAATCCCATGAAACGTATCTGATACTACAGGTATCATTTTAGCACTATAACATCGCAAAACTAACAACGGTATGATACTCACGACAGAAGGCTGAACAACCTTTTCACCGTGATCTCGACGACCCTTGCAAAGGCATGCCCAGATCTCATCTCCGAGAGACTTAGATATCGTGCCCGCACCATCAGTATGCAAATATTGACCTAGGGCTAGATTCTCTTCCGTGCCCATATCAGGAATCTCCTCCCATTTATCACGCCTGATTTTGACAGAAGGATCAGTCGCAGTGAAAGCCTGGCCAATCCTCGCAGCCCACTTAGAAGGCTGTGTCATAAGTTTGCTGCCCTTGAAATCCCCGATAGAGTGACGAATATACTCTGCAGTAATGAAAATGATATCTTTAGTGTCCGGGTCCTGATATCGGAAGGGGTTGATGAACCATACTGCATGCTCGCGTAATGCTGAGGTAGAATAGGCCAGGAACTCAAATCTTCGTCCAGCTAGCTGGAACCCTTCCTTCAAGGCGCGACCTACTCGCTCACGAACAAAAGATGCTCCATCAACCGCACGATCCCACCGATACGACAGTCTGTCTTCATCGCGAAAGTCTACACGGATGAAGTGATCGTCATATCCAGCGTACTTTCTGATAATACGATTGGACTGGGTAGCATAAGGGCCTTCCAGAATCATGCGGGTGGGTGCAAAGGTGACATGGCAGCACATAAAATGTCCTGAGGAAAGGGTTTGTTTGAGGTACATAAATTCCCGGCTGACACGACGGAAACAGTCCTGAGGAGATTCGCGTGCATCACGATTATCTAGAGCTTCTCCATAGCTCCGCAAGAGACTGCCAACGTAATCATCGTTCTGACTAGGATGCTGGGAACAAGCTCTTTTCACAAGGGGTATGAGGTCTTCAATATCGGGTGTGAGGAGGAGGCAATTGTGAAGTAGTAACTCCAGTTGGAACGCGATCGGCCAACTGAAGTCTGAAATATCTTTTCGCAATTTCCAAAGTCGTTTTTGCTCGAAGAATCCCTGCTTGGAAGCCTCCATGTTCCAAGGCGCTGTAAAAGAGATGATGAGACTGGTCGCTATTCCGGCTACTACGCAGAGGTTCTTGAACTTCTCGATGACATCGCAATTCGGATCGTTATACAGAAGCAATCGTAGATGTTGGGCATACTGTGCGACGCTTGCATGTCCTGGATGGAGAGAGCCGATGCGGTGCTTGTACTTGCTACTATCGAGTCTGTTGTCACCTGTCAATGTCCTGTGTAACTCGATGGCTTCAAAAATGGGAGGTGTTAAGGTATCAAAGCATATATCTAAGAATGGAGACGTGAGAAGAATGACACTAGGGAATGCGACTTTGAAAGGGCGCACAAGGTTTGCCATCATAACCGATAGCTATCTTGGTGATGGAAGAGAAACGGATAGCAATTGTCTGGCCTTCGTTCTCGGTGGTCTCATTTCCAAGCTTAGGGACAGTGTCAAAACTATGAATGCTGTAGAAATGCGAGAGTGACTGACAGTGATACGAATCAGCTTGTGCTCATATTCGAACTTCAACCAAGCAGCACTATTCACTGCGTAGTCACGCTCCCACTCAATTGAGTACACACGTGATGCAAGTTTCTGCTTGGGAGAGGTAGGATACGAAGGACGATAGTATGCGCCAAACTGGACGGCGTCGACGCGAATCCTCAGATCCAGTTGCCGGCATTTATCCTTCCACTCCTCTTCAATATCGGGATTTACAAAGGGCGTCCTTTGCAGTGTCAAAGCCTCATAATCGCGAATGTGGCCTTTCCCGTACACCTTGATCTTCTTGCCTTCAATCCGTATGGGAGTTTCCTTTGCCCAACGCAGGAACTTGCGGCCAATCGCCTCTGTGGGAAGCTGTAAGAAGCCGGTGCCGTCATTACGAACCCCACCCATTTTGCTCGGATTCAGCTTAACTTTGAAGTTGAGCTGACGTTCATTCTCGTGAACAGGGTGGAACTCGTCGGAATGAAGGACTTTGGCCAGTGATCTGGTGACGTCCCATTCATTGACGGTCGTTGGAAGATAGTTCAGATGGATATTCATGGCGGATGGTCGAAACAAAGCGATAAGGAATGATGGGACAAGAAGAGGAAGGTGACATGCACTTGAAGCGCCGTCAGAAAAGTTATCGATAACATCATAAAGACACAGCAAAACAAAGGACAAAGGAAGCTAAGGAAACGCTTTAGTGCACTTCTGTGACAATGGAAAGTGCTGCGATTGGCCGACTACGTTACATAAGCAACTCAGCTAGGTAAACATACTCCAACTCGCCGGCGAAGATTGAAGATGTTGTAGGTGAACTGAGAGAGAGATTGGACGAACACGAACGAGAGACACAGGCGCCGACGTTGCACATAGCCCCAAATGCGTCCGGTAAGTTGGGACCAGACCAATACAATAATAGGACTGGCCCAAAGGCGGCCCAAGAAAAGCTGTGACAGATTCACGTGCCTAGTGACAGACGTGGGAAATAATTTCCATTCCAGCCTCATAAGAGTCATCCCATTTTCCGACCACCATCATCGGGATGAAAATCATCGACAAAATATCAGCACATGATGGGCCTCACCCTTTCTATTTCTTTGAGTTCTTTCCACCACGAACAGATCAAGTCATGGTCCTCTCCTTATCCGACAACGCTGAGAACTGACTTGTACGGTCTTAACAGGGATTCGAGAACCTCCTTTCTCGGATATCCAGACTGTCAAATTTGAGGCCTATGGCAGTCAGCATTACTTGGGGTGCCGGTGGAAGCACCAGAGATCGTAGTCTGGACCTCGCTGGCTTGGCGCAAACAGAACACCATATTGACACCATTCTTCACCTCACATGTACAAATATGATGCAAGGGATGGTAGATGATGCCCTGGCAGTATGTGTTATCCCTTCTTTATATTCAACTTAAATTAACACTTTATACCAGGCAGCAAAGAGTAGGAAGATTGAAAACATATTGGCTTTGCGCGGCGGTACGTCATATACGACCCTGGAGGGTCACGTCAAATTTATCGATGACCAGATCCACCAAGAGGGAAGGAGGAGTGGATTCCCATTGATCCTCGTTTCCAACGCGGTGTTGATCTTGTTTCCTACATTCGTTCCTCGCCTCAATTCTCATCCCAATTTTGCGTTGGCGTTGCCGGTTAGATCTTTCCTGGTGTCTCTTTCCCTTCTGAACGATACCTGTAGCGTACCCCGATCGACATCCTGATAGTCCTCATAATGAGGATACTGAAATGGAGTATCTGAAAGCAAAAGTAGATGCTGGCGTCGATTTCATTATCACTCAGCTTTTCTACGATGTAGACCAATTCCTTCAGTGGGAGAAGAAAGTTAGGGCGAAAGGTCTGTGTCCTTGTATAACATTGTTTTGGAATTTCAAGTTGATTCTTTGCAGGTATCAGCGTCCCAATCATCCCTGGCATCATGCCGATCCAAACTTATTCATCATTCCTGCGGCTAATCAAGCTTTGTGGCACAGATGTGCCGTCGTTTATCATATCGGATCTGGATCCCATCAAGGTGCGCACCTACTTGTTCAGCGCTAGAGAAATAATAATCATACAACAGCATGACGACCAACTCGTTAAAGATTATGGCGTCAAGCTAGCCGTCAATATGATACGACGACTAACTTCTGAAGGAAATGTTCCTGGCGTACACTTTAGCACCCTTAACCTTGAAAAGAGCGTACAGCGCGTCCTAGAGTCTTTGCAGTGGGCTGGTGCCGTGCCCTCAACTCACAATAGATTGATTGAGGTACTTAACTCGTTCTAAGGGTTTCGTATATGCCTGACGTCCCTACAATAGCAAGACATTCATGATGACGGTAGATCTGTCACTCCATCTTCAGCAAGCCGGGCGGCAAAATATGGATTAGCTACCATATCCACCACCGACGGTGAGGCTGGTAGTGGAGAGCTGAACAATGCCGCGACGTGGGATGACTTCCCTAACGGTCGGTTCGGTGACTTCAAGAGTCCGGCATATGGCGACCAAGACCCGTATGGAAACGTCGGAAATATAGTGAGTTACAAAACTGTAAAGTGTACTGAGTCATGTTTTGATCCTTACGCCAGACTTTTGGCCTTTGGAGGCACCCACGGACTATAGAAGATCTAACTGCAATATTCTTAGACCATCTGCATTCGAAGATACCAACTACGCCATTCTCTCCTACACCACTCTCTCCTGAATCGCTGACGATCCTTCCACATTTAGAGAAACTTACAAACCGTGGTTGGTGGACGGTGGGATCACAACCCGCCGTTGATGGTGCGCCATCGAGCGATGAGGTATTCGGATGGGGTCCTCGTGCTGGGTTCGTATTTCAGAAAGGATTTGTGGAGTTCTTCTGCACTGAAGATGATCTGGACATTATCGAGAAGAAGGTCGCAGATAACGGGAAGGGGTGGGTGCACTGGTTTGCTGGTAACTCGAAGGTAGGCCGGAACTCACTGGCATGGATATTACTGAAAGTTCTTTTAGGGGGACTATCAAGGGAATATACCTGATGATGGGCGAAATGCGGTAACTTGGGGTGTTTTCACGGGCCAAGAGATCATACAGACGACGATTATTGAACGTGAATCATTCCTTTCGTGGAAGGTATAGTCATTTTGCCAACGAGCTCGGCAGTGTCCTTACAATTTCTGAAGGATGAAGCCTTTTCGATTTGGTCGGAATGGGCTTCGCATTACCGCCCGGGATCTGAAGAGAGGTCCTTGCTGGATTCGGTGAAAAAAGAAAGATGGCTCGTCAGTATCACCCATCATGACTATAAGAACACGGAGGCCCTATGGACATTCTTATCCGATATCGAAACAACGAGCACGTAATATAAAACTTGTACTTATGCTCTTCAACATTGAGCACAAATGTATCTACTACATCTACCTATGTATTTGCAGAAAATGCCGTATAGGGTTCTCTCGAAACATGGACCTTATTGCTCCGCGATCGTTGCAATTAGTGACTTTGATCGCGACTGCCTCTCATCCAGCTACTATGACTACGCCCTTGCCCAAGCTATATTCTCGGGTCCTCACTGCCACATCCGATGCCTATGACCTGCCCACGATTGAAGATTCGACACAGGTGTTTATCTCAGCATCCTCAGACTGAACAGGAAATAACGATCCTGCAGGATATCGTCAAGTCATGCATAGAGGATCTATGCGAAATTCAAACTCGAATATCCGACCTCGCGCTTTTCAGCAGCAACGAGACACTCGATGACATCTCCACGCAGAATCTAATCTATCTCACCGTGCCCTATGTGTGTGCGGAGGTACAGGGACGCGTACGGACGACGGAGAGGGAGGATCGGTTTATTTCCATCGTCCAGGCTCAAGTGCGTCTCTTACTGTATATTTTTGGTACAGACCTGACTTTCAATTCCAAGAATCACTATGAAACGTACTGCTCGACCCTGGAGAACTACGGAATAGTTACAGAGGGAGACTCGAAGCTGTTTTCGCGTAACGCCACCAATGCTGCAAGCAAACGAGAACAGAAGATACAGCAATACCACCATGAGAAGGATCTGCGTACGAGGATAGAGGTGCGTTACTCTTACAATGCATATATTGACACCTAAAGTCTGCTAGGTCATTCACAAACGCAAAAGTCGGCGGCCCACTGAAGAGTTAGCGTCCGGCACCACAGATTTCATTCTTATCAGTTCCCTTCTACCTTCTGCAACTGCCTCCGGAGATGAAGACGAAGACGACGAAGTGCTACGAGAAACAGTCCTTCTTCTTTTACGTCTTTTCTACTCTCTTTCCAAGACTCACCTTGCCCACATCGACACAGAGCTGCAGTTGTTGAAGACGGCACCTCCTCCACTTCCGTACTCACCCAGGCCAGACGATAATGATCCCAGGAAAAAAGAGAAGGACGAGCGCGACGAAGACATGTGGAAACTGGATGCCCCGAAACCTAATCCGGGTGGAGGGCCGTTACTGGATCCTGCAGGAAAGGTCTGCTCCATCTGTGGACTTGAGTGTACCTCTCACTGACCACTATGTAGCCTCTTCGACCATTCACGATTCTCCCTTTTGGCGCGTCTGATCGCGCTCGCCACCAGGCACAGGTCTTCGGGCCGGGATACAACTTACCAACGATGACTATCGACCAGTACCTTGAAGTGGAGAGGCAGCGGGGTAACATTCTTTCTGGAGGAGGGTATGTCGACTGCTATGGAATTTTTATCCTCTACATATTGACATATGTTTTTTAGTCCTGGCTCGGAAAATATGCCCACATCATCTGAGCAGCTAGCCATGGATGCCGAAATAGACGGCACAATCAAGGGAGAAGCAAAAGCGGAAGAGAAGAGACTTAAAGATGAGAATTGGGCCAAGTTTACTGACGAGAACCCGAGAGGTGCTGGGAATACGATGAATCGAGGCTGACTGACGGAATTGAAAGAAGAATGTTTTGCTGCACCGCTGTATGTATTTATTTTGCCTGTAATCATTAATTATGGAATATCATTGTCCAGAGCACAGATCGAAAAGTTCAACTTTGGCTCAACCTATATGATTTCTATAGCTTAGACAGAGGCTCACTGGAATCGATGGTTTCCAAGTCGATTCTGACAGCTATTCTGGGCAACATGTCAAACCGGCGAACAGTGAGTCTAGCATCAATTCAGGCCTGGAAACCTTAATCATGTTTTAACCGAATGTCTGGGACCGCTCGATTCTGATCCATTCAGGCCATTAGCTATCCCGGCTACCAAAATTCATGACGGAGCATAATCGACTGGGAATCGACTTCAGAATCGCGACTCTTGACCACCCCGAATAATATCGGAGAAGTCTAATCAACATCGAAGATTTCCTACTGTCTTCGCTTCAGGTGAAACGTTCATGCACGAAGTACGTATCTCTCTTCCGTCTGTGTCGGTGTTGGATCGCTGAGCTCACCATGGCCAACCAAGTAACAAAACTGGTGCTAGTGCGGCGGCGTACGATTAACGAACTCTAGAGGCTTAGGCGCTACGGTCACCCCTCAGAAATGAACTCAGACGCAAGTGGACCCGTACAAGGATCAAAAGGGCAACGGCCTATCGTATACGTTAACGCTATGCAAAGCTCGAAACCCCACTATTGCACCTCGAGTTCCTACGATGATGCCCAAAGTGGGAGAGATGAAGCCCAAGGATGGGAAACCGAGCGGTGCTAGGAATTCCATACATCGGGAATGAAATAACAATATACGAATGGCTCACTGTATCATGGCATGTATATCCCCCGAGTCGCCTGTAAACAAGTCTTTAATCATGCAAATCTTGGCACTTCGCAGGGCCCAGGGAGCCAAATCTCATCTCATCACATCATTATACGGCACGGTACATCCATATCTTGATGAGTCTTTATCTCAACCAATCACAAGTTATTCTATAACGACACTAGCAAATCTCTCCGGTGATGGTTCGTCGCCTCAACCGGCCTTGGTTGGACAAATATAGCTTTATCGTCTCATCGTGAGCTTTTATAAATAATGACGTGAAGGCTCGCTTGTCCTGTGACTTTGAAGTCTTTTCTCTCATGCTCGAGAAAGATAACCACACAGACACACTTTCTCTCTCGACGGGTGCAGACTGATGAGGGATTACTCGCCAGCCTCGGGTATAAACAAGGTACTTCATAGTACTTGCCTTCGTCGATGTGCGCTGACTGATAGTCTTCTCTAATCAGAGCTCAAAAGACAATTCAAACCACTAGAGATTCTTGGGATCGCCTTCAGCATTGTTGGGGTTGCACCTGCATTTTCGTAAGTTGGATTTCAAATATGTATAGCTTTTCATGCATCGTGTAGATCCGTTCTCATCTACTCCCTCCCCAATGGAGGCGCGTTTGCAATGGTCTGGGGCGTAAGTAACATCCCTTTACAGGGGCTATTGGAATGACGCTTCATTCACAGTGGACTGTCTGTTCCATCTTCATCGCTGCAATTGGCCTTGCCATGGGAGACCTAGCGTCTGCCGCGCCAACATCCGGTGGACTCTATTACTGGACCTTCATGTTCTCGCCAGAAAAATGGCGCTGTTTTTTATGTTGGATCGTAGGATGTATGGCTTAAATCTCATTGCAACCCACTGGCACTAACGTGAGATAGATTCCAACACCATCAGTAATGTGGCTAGCGTTGCGAGCATTGACTGGGGATGTGCCCTACAAATCATGGTAGCGGTCAGTATCGGATCCGATCTGACTTTTGAAGCAACCATCCCCCAGACTTTGTGCGTTACCTCATAGTCACTGACTTAAGGGCCTGACAAATCCATGCAGTGGCTTATATTGCGCGCTTCTCCTCTGCCATGCACTTATATGCAGCATCAGTCCTAGATTTATGGCTAGGTTGCAGATATTCTTCGTAATACTCAATGTCCTGTACGCTTCTTTCGATTTTTCGAGTCCCGTTGCTCATAAGGCTCCTTCTATTCCAGCCTATGCTTCGCGATTATCGTAGGCCTCCCGGCAGCCACTCCCAAGGAATTCAAAAATGACGCAAAATTTGCCTTTGAGGACTTCACTAATGGTCTGGGTTCACGCGGAAATTTTTCATTGCTCATCGTTCTTCCTAGTATCTGGATGGCCGAATGGATTCGCATTCATCCTTAGCTTTTTAACCCCTTTATGGGGGGTTGGTGGGTCACCTTTCTCGTGCAAATACCTTCGTAGCTGATATGTACAGGATGCTTTGATGCTCCCGTTCATATGAGCGAGGAAGCCACTAATGCCAGCATAGCCGTTCCAATGGCAATCATTTTCTCTACCCTCTCCGCTACTGTCCTCGGCTGGGGTGAGTTTCCCCTGCTACTATTGTCAACGCCGAGCCTTGGCAACTAACGAGCCTTGCATTACGAAGCCATGAACATCTCACTGGTCTTCTGCATGGGCCAGGATTACCAAAGTATCATTGATAGCCCCATCGGCCAACCTATGGCCACTGTGCGTAACCAATGGTCCTAATCATAAGCTGCACATGTAACGGATCTGCTGATAGATATTGTTCAAATCCTTTGGAAGGACGGGAACTCTTATTGTATGGTCCTTCATCATCTTGGCACAGTAAATCGGATCTCTCGAGTCCACAGATCCTTATCTTCTCATTGATATCAACTATTTAGGTTCGCTATCAGCGCAGGTATAGTAAGTCCCCGTGATGGTCTCACGCAGCGCTAAAGCTGACGGGTACGTAGTTAACGACATGTTCTCGACAGGTAAGTTAAGTGTCTTGCTTTCCCTTTCCGTTCGCATTTATACTTAGACCCAAATACAGATCTTTGCGTTCTCCCGGGACGGAGGTTTCCCTCTCTCTCGATGGGTATACTACGTCGATCCTCAAACTCGGACCCCATCTCACGCGGTCTGGTTTGGGACGTTCTTGTCCCTTCTACTCGGAATTCTTGCCTTCGCTGGTAATAACGCTATTGGGGCGGTCTTTTCGCTGGTAATTACTGGACAATACGTGTCATATTCCATCCCGATGGCAGCGAGGTTTCTTGGCGGCAAAACAGTGAAGCCAGGCCCTTTCCGGCTAGGTCCTTTGGTCAGTCATTTTATGCTCACGCATCGATTGAAAGTGATTGATGTAACTTCTATCACCCCAGAGTCTCCCAATTGCCGCGATTGCCGTTACCTGGATGACTTTCATGACAGCTGTGTTTATGTTTCCCCTTACCCCCTCTCCCGGGGTAGGCAACATGAACTATACAATCGTAGTGCAAGGCCAGTGGCTTCTAATAAGCTTCCGATTTGGTGCGTTGACGCAGACCTTGCAGGTGGCGTTCTGATATTTGCCACCGTCTATTTCTACTTTCCGAGATATGGCGGAATCAACTGGTTCACAGGACCGATATCAACGGTCAAAGCGCCTGCGGTACAGGTGAAAAATGATGCAGTTGAAAAAGAGTAAGATGCCAGGTGGACTGCGTAGATTATGTAAATGGATCGTTATTCATGGATCAACCAGCATACCTCGGTAGATAATATATGGATACATTGTTAATGTGTGAGTGGCACGTTCACACGGAGATCGATCTAGAGACTCAAGCATATCCCAGCTGGTTTAAGCCAGGATTAGCCGTCTAAGCCTCACTAACGAGCAAATAACTTAGTGACATATCTAGACCAACGCTAAGCGCTTGAACTCGGCGTCGGTGGAGCACACGAGGACGAAGAAAACTCACGCGGTGTTCAGTGTAAAGCTGGAACACTCGCCATAAACTACATCCAAGCACTGTTGTAGACTTCTATATCAACTGTGAATCTGTTAGGTTGCTCGCTCATATTCAGTGATCATTTAAGCATACACATCCAGGTGGAGACCAAGACGAGCACAGACAGACCTCGTCGGCTCACAGCTGCACCATGGCAGAGATACGAACAGAAGCATGCCACAAGAGCCAAATTCTGCGTCAGAGCCTTCAGTTCGGCACTGTGAACACAAGTTGAAAGAAAGAAAAGTAAACCCCTCCGGCGTAAGTTGCTAAAATGTGCACATTCGAACTGCCCATGTCTTCAGAGCGAACGCGACAACCTCATCACTGCAGGTCAAGGCATCGGAGCTTGAGATCTTTGAGTACATTTAACTACTGCTGGATCTCGTTGCTCGTGGTAGAGGACGGGCCGGAAGACCTCGAGGTGATAGCTTTAGCAACGACGGGGGTAACACTCCAGATGACGGAGAGGACTGCGCCTTAGACTTGTATGATTCTTGGTGGAGTCATATCGGCCCGACCATCTCCCAGTAGCTGCAAGAAGGGAGCGGAGAGACCAAGATGGTCGCGGATAAGGCGCCAATGATAAGTTCCACTATTGTGGGTATGGAGGAAGGTGAGCAATGCAATTCGAAAGAAAAAGAATGAGGTACCGGAGGAGCTGTCGTTGTTCTCCGACGTACACATGTGTTTATGTCTCAAGTGGTTACTAGGGTCCAGAGGCTCGGCAGGATACTCTCCTCGACGTGATGAAACACCTCCTGAGATGGGGAATTTCGAACGGAGCTTTTTCTCCGTCTTTTTTAAACTGTGGAGAATCTTTACGACGTTCATATAGGTACTATGTATCCGCGTTTTGTGCGCTGCCCAATGGAATGCGAGTTTCATATCCGCTGTCGGGCTCGAGATATTTGGAAAATCGCAGTTGGGAAATACAACAGCAAGCCCGCGGAACGTAGTGGCGTCTATCATTTTGGCAGATAGTCCGATTTTAACAGGCCAGCCAGATTTAGTTTGAGAGTCCGTTGCTCTATTAGAGCTGCAGCAAAATCCAACAAGTACCACTCCGAATGAAGAATGTTTCTGGGTGGCGGTGCTGAGCGGCACTGACTTCGGCATGAGCCAAGCTAATCTTATCGAAAGCCAAAAACCAATCTAATCAATCCGGTTTTTTTCTTCCCAACGCTATGGCTGTTCACCTAACATCCATCCTTCCACGCTTCTCTACACTGGAAGAACACGCAACCATCGTTTCATCCACTCCCCAGAACTTCTCCGATATCCCCCCTGTGCTTCGACACGAGCAGAAAGAGGTGAATGTCACGTTTGACGCCCCTTTGGAAGGCAAAGCAGAGTGGCTGCATGGCACACTATACGTGATCGATTCCGTACTGGCGTTTGTCGAGGACGGTGAGAATGCTCAGGGCTGGCAGATAGAGTACCCTGCCATTACTCTCCATGCGATATCAAAAGCAGGGGGTGGGATTTACTGCCAGCTGGACGATAAATTTGGTCGTGTTGGGACGGAGGAAGAAGAGGAGGAAGGGGAGGATACGATGAGAGAACTTATTGTTGTTCCGAAGGATAGCGAGTCGCGTATGTTCTTTTGACATGTTTATTGAGCGGTGTCTTACTTTTCTTAGTAAATGCGATCTTTGAAGCATTGTCCTTCTGTGCCTCGCTGCATCCCGATGAACCATCACCATCAGATGATGAAGACGACGAAGCCTTTGTGGATGCTGATGAATTTGAAGTCTTTGATAGAACAGAGGAGCAGGAGCTCAGCGAAGTTGGGAGGGTGAGGAGTGATTTTATCCATGATTCTCGTTATCAGCCATATTGATCCATTTTCACACCATTTTTTCCCATTTTGACTTGGAGTGTAGGCGGCCCTCGAGCACCTAGAGTCGATTATCGACCGTGGCGACGAACGGACAAAGGCTGTGGCGGAATCAGGTGCCGAGTAAAGAGATACCAAGGCCTTGTAGCTTCAAAAAACCTGTATCACCATTTTATATCACAGTCTTCGGAATTTATGACAGGTATTGTGGTATTCAAACAGGCGGCACTTTGGCACTTGGAGCAAAGAAAATTATTTTACTCATGCTGTGCCACGCTATCACGACTATCACATGACAATGTCATACTGAAGAGAACGCGACTTGATATTCACATCCTTAGGAACAGGCAACTGGGTATATAGTCTGACATAGTATGCTCCATAGTAAACGATACCTGCGGGTCAGAAATATTAAATTCTATGGCTCCTGTGGCTTAGGGTCTTCATCCACTGAAGATGAAAGTCAGTCGGGTTGCAACCCCGAGGAAACGAAGCCTCACGACATTCAATCGTCACCCTCTCCCCCAGCCCATTAAGCACCCTCTTAACTGACAACTCCAGCTTCCCTGTAGCATTCTTCCCAAAATCATATTGCATTGATATGATCATTACAAACATCTTCAGATTTGGGTACAACCGCAAAACGATTTCAGTGAACAAGTTCCACTTGAAAGGAAAACTTTGCTTCAAAATATCAGTCAGATCCCGGAGTTCGTCAGCAAAAACGTGAATGCTGAGGGTTGTCAGTCCTGGGCGGCGGGGAACCACTGTACTGCAACTGCGCACCAGGTCAGCTGAAAGAGCGGCCGAAGAGTTCCTCCCAAACTGATCATGGCGAACTTCAGTAACCGAAGGCACAGGTATGCTCTTTTCTTGAAATGAGGGAGCTTTTGTCCAGCCGGCTTGTCAAGTCTATCAGCGGAAAGAAGAATAATGTCGTGAATCAACAACTTACCATCGCCAGGCGAAGGAGGCTGCAAAGACATATTCTCTAGAGAATCGGCCGCCATGTCTAGGAGGCGAACGAAGGTCTTGGGAGAAAAGGGCATGTCGTGTTCATAGGATATATGCTGAAGCCTAGTAGGCCGGGATATTTCAGAAACCTCCAACGAGCCAATCTGTGGACATCCTGAAATCTTGAAGGGATAAGGTCCGGAGGTCTGTCATGTCTCCTGTGAAAGCGCCTGCATTTTCAGAAACACATTCAATATCGATAGAAGCCGTTTTAAAGAGCTGGATGTGCTTGAACATGCTGAGAAACTGCTTGGCTTCAAAACACCCTGGAAATCAAGCTCGGTGATTGCTGGGAAAGTGGAGAGGAACTATTTCGTTTCAGACGTCCAGCGAATGGGATGGGTCATCATGTTGGACCACAAGAACTTGGTTGCTCGGGGCATAAGGGGAAGACGAACGTTAGGGGGTGGAGCCTGGTATTCGTGTTCCTGCAAGAGAAATTCGAGCATAATATCGGTCTTGTTGTCGTCTCCGAAATATTTTGCCTTCAGCTCGCGGATTCTTTGCTCTCTGAAACGGCCTCCAGGTTCGAAGTTGACCTTTCGGACATAGAACGAGATATATGCCATTGACGCGCCAATGTTGCGCCAACGGTTGAAATTTGCTTCCAGGGAGAAATCCGCCACTGAAAAGAGGTAGCAAAGGGACGCGGGGCACCAGGCTTTGGAAACGAGCGACGCGACGGGCAGGGACATCGCATCGTCGCGAGTATTTTGGATAATCTCATCCACTAACTCTAATGGGAGGTCATGGCCGCTGGCTGCAAGCAGGTCAGCGATGGCTTTTGAGAAATAAAGATTACTTGCCTTTTGCGCGGCCAGCACACTCATCGAAACTGACAGAATGGTTGATTTATTGATATCAGATATGTCCGGCGGCAAGGTGGCGGTCAAGAGCAGTTTCAATTTTTGCACAGCCACGGGCAGCGGTTCAATCGTATCAACCTCCATGGCTTCTCCAACATCCTCCGAATTCCCATCCTCCCCTCCCAAGCGAACAAAAATTGTATTGTTGGGTGACCAAAGTGTCGGAAAAACCAGTCTTATCACCCGGTATGTCGTGGACATTACCTCTGGCTGCACCCGCCTATGAGACACGGTCAGATTCATGTACGACACCTTTGACAACACGTACCAGGCAACAATTGGTATCGATTTCCTAAGTAAAACCTTGTATCTTGAAGATCGGACAGTGAGGCTGCAGCTCTGGGACACGGCTGGACAAGTACGAACGCGTCGTCACGAGCGGACGCTGAGCTGACATTCACGACAGGAGCGCTTTCGTTCATTGATACCATCGTATATTCGCGATTCCTCCGTGGCTATCATCGTTTTCGATATAACAAGTACGCTTTATTGGTTCAACGGCCTCGACGCACTTATAGAAACAGGCTGACAGACAGACCATCCTTTCTATCGACGACAAAATGGATAGAGGATGTGCGTTCAGAACGAGGGAAGGAGGTGATAGTCGTATTGGTGGGCAACAAGGCCGACTTGTCAGACAAACGGTATATCCCGTCCGTTACTCACGTTCTATATCTGATTTTTTTCAGGGAAGTAACACTTGAAGAGGCTACGGCGCAGGCGACCCAGCTCGACGTATTGTTTATGGAGACATCCGCTAAAGCAGGTCACAATGTAAAGAATCTGTTCAAAAGGATAGCCATGTCGCTACCGGGTAAAGAGAAAGAAGAGGAGCCGGAGGGTAATACAAGTTCGTTCTGATCTCATCTGCTTGATGGGCTTGCCCCGCTTATGGTATGTGCGCAGAAATCGAGATTACGACACCGGCGGCGGACCAAAACCAGGAAGGATCGCAATGCAGCTGCTGAGCGATTTGACCATATTTAACGGCCCGGATTAGATCAACGGTAGGCCTGCGTTAACCAGCTTTTTTGCATACTAAGGACCGTCTAGACATGTGTAGATCTACTAATAGCAACACTATTTTTGCTTCTTCGAAAACATCTGTCATGACTCATGACTGGCTCAAAGGAGGCGCAGAAAACCCTTCCGAGAACCGATGGCTTGCTCAATATCCGTCTGCTGCATGCTTTGGGAGCTCGGCTCGTCGTCCATCAGCCTCAATTCGTCATCATCGGGTGCCGTTATTGCGCTCAAGACTTGCTTCGGCACTACTTTCTTCAAGGTTCTAGAAAATTCTCGTATCGATTTTCAAAACGACTCAAGGATTGCGACGGGCAGTCTATTGTCGGAGTGATTTCCACTGGACGCACTTCTTCTCAACTACGGACCTTATACCAATCTCGGATGATGCACCCTTGCCTCCGTCTTACACGTAAGACAGGCGGAAGGTATTACCGATGTGCTGGGTCATGGTCTCTGCACTGGAATGGTGAACAAGATTCCATTCTCCCCCCATTGGAACTACGCCGTGTCTAGTGGTAGTAGTCGTTGCAGGGAGTAGAACTTGTGTTTTATACGGTGCTGACGAAGCAAACATTGTTTCGACTGTCCTTTTTGCAGCCAGCACCACTGCCCAGCGAGATTTAAACCATCTCTTTGTTTTCCCCCCACAAATCTGGATATCTGGAGCTGCTTAAGCAGCGCCACCACGGCGAACTCGATCCTCCTCTGCCTTTTAGTTAGTGCCGTACCGCAACAAAAATGTATCCGGATATTGCTGGTGACTCCGACGATACAACACATACCCTTCAACGTGGACAATATGTATGCTTCTGACTGGACGGCATTCCACTAGAACTTCGAGACCCAATAACTGTTCGCCATGTGAACGATACGTCGTAACAACCGCTCTGAAGACGTACCAGACATGCTTGCCTCATAGCGCGCTCTGCTGTGCATTTCGTGGTAACGATGCTCTCGATGAAATACTCCGAGAAACAGGCTTCGCCATTATTACCCGTCAGTCCTGCAGTCAGAATCTTTCGACAGGCAGTTGGGCTTGTACAAGAGCCAATTCTCTCTCAAATCGTACGTTCTTCCAAGCGTATCTGCATGTGCAGGTTTTCTAAACCATTTCACAGCAGTTACGCTTTTGCAGAAGCCTAGACACTCCCTGTTACATATCGCGCTTGACTGACAAGCAGGAGAAACTGCGGATGTTCTTGCGAACGCTAGAGGTTATCCATGGACCGCCGAAGACGCGACGGAGAGAAGCTCCCGGTCGAAATTACTTTCTCTGCCAAAATTTCATTCTCCAAAGCCTTTCTTACCGGAGAATTCCTGACATTACGATCCAGAGAGACGCCGCCGCTTGGAGTTTGTTTACCCAGAATTTCTAGACTGCTTCAAGACGTATATAAGAGTCTCTATGTGGGAGAGGAACAGCAACTCACAGAGTCATCGACTTCATTCTTCAGCCATCACGCACTTCTCAACTGCATATTTCCTTCCCACTATGACCAAATTCGCCATCCTGTCCGCTTTGGTTCTCCTTTGCGCTTATGTCCCTGGAGGACAAGCCGGTCCTGCCATGGTGAAAGGGCAATTGGGAGCAGAGCATGGTCATCCTGTCGCTGCGATCCCCACAAAAGTCATCGAAGCTCGACAGGCCGTCGTTACTTCCGTCGTTGGAGGAGTCACCTCTATCATCGGGGGCGTCCTTGCCGAAGAATCCGCCTCCGCCGCCGC